TTTTTTTTTTTCTGTTGCTTTAGTTGTATGTTCACAAACCTTTTAGAAAATGAACCTTAAATCCAAAAGTATTTATCCTATCATGTCATTTCATGGGGTGGGTTTGACTCTCCAAATTAAGAACTTATTTGGTAAAAATTAAAATTGAATTAAAATTAAAAAATTAGTCATTATTGTTGACTTTTATTAGACGAGTAGGACCCAATAACGACTATATTTTTAATTTTAATCGGATTTTAATTCCTCTCAAACAAGCTCTAAATGGATTCAAATTGTTTCAATTTTCAATATAGGAAAATAATAAAACAATCTAAAGAAAATGTAGTTAAAATAAAAGATAAATCCAAAAACATTTATCCTATCGTAATCTAGAAAATTTTCACAGGTTTCCTACAGGTGCTGCTGTGGCGGCATCCGGTCCATATATTTTTTCTTTTTTATTCCCATCTTTCATAATGTTTTGCCATGTGTTATCTGTGAAATAATTTTGTGAAAAAAATATGTACAGTTCCTTTTCCAGCCCTCCAATTCACAGTGAAACGTGTTCTCGTATTGTTCATTAGAGTATATCCAAGAGACTCTTTAAACATGAGATACTCTCTATTTTAAATAATCAACATTTAAAATCATGATTCAAAAGACACTTTGAATTAACATTTTAATTTAGAGAGTGAGTTTATCTAAAAGCATTCATAGTGTTTCAATTTTCAATGTAGGAAAATAATAAAATAATCTAAAGAAAAGCTAGTTAAAATAAAAGATAAAGAAAAATAATAAATATTTTTTGGGAGTAGTAAAATTAAGTGTTAAATATAAAGATTTTATTAGAGCATTTCAAAATTTTAACTCTCTAAATTTATAAAAACTCTTCAAATGATGGAATATACTCTTTAAAAATAAAGAGTTTATTGAAAATGCTCTTAACTAGTTATTACAAACTCTTGCACGATGTTTTTTAAAAAAATTTGCTTGCTATAGGGATTGATGGTACTAAACCCGATCTCAACCTTGACTCGGCCAAGATGAGCTCCAGCCCACTATAGAGATCGGGCATAATGAGGTCAGGCCCATACTGCTTGACCCACATTGCTCGACCTCACCCCATTATTTCAGTTTTACTTTGTTCAAGTCGGGCCCCATCGACAGGCGTAACCTCATCCCCTGACTCACGTGTCCTCTCACTCGTCTCACGTACCCCTAGAATATTAGTTCATTTCGGATACTAACTCCCCAGTTGCCTTAAGTTTCACCCCCAACTCGAATAACACAATCCTAGCACAACAACAACGCATTTAATATGGGAAGTTGAGTCCTTTTAGGATTCCACCTCCACCTCCTATAAATACATAACAAAGCCTTATTACTCAGGTACATTTTTCCAATAATACTCTAGCATACAATATTCTGTCATTCTTCTTTCTGACTTAAGTATCGAAGGGACGACGAGGACACACCTCGCCGCCTTTGTTTCAGATATTTGAATATCGCAACGTGTGGAGTTCAACCATCATCTTTGGGTCAATCCAGGTACGAATTTTTGGTAGCATCATTGGCGCCGTCTGTAGGAATCGCTGCCATGGTTAACACCCGTTTGGGACATCTTCCAGCAAGCTCATCCGCTCCTAACCAACCCTTCGTCGATGACCATCCCGATCCCCAGGAGATAGATATCATTAGGAGAACTACCGGAACATTGGTAGAACTCTGCCAGTAGGTAGCCACGCTTACTTAACTACTACATCAGAGAAGCACACCCCCAGTGTCGTCCCCATAGAGTGGTCTTATGGCTGATGATCGAGTGCTCGGCCCCAGTCGTGGTGACGTCGGAGCCTCGGATGCACAACATGTCCCCGTTGGTTCCAGATCAATTACTATGTACTCGACTGATCTTGCATGGATCATTGAAAATGGAATCACCGCGGGATGTTCCCAAAGTCTCAAGCAGCAACAGGATTCACCCATAACACACCGTTTACCCCTGAAGTATTATCATACCCACTACTGGATTGATTTAAGTATCCTCGAGTGAAGGAGTATGATGAGATGACTGACCCCATCAACCATCTTAACATATACACAGATATCATGAACTTACAGGTCGCACCCGATGCTGCAATGTACATGGCCTTTCCTGGGACACTAACCAACGTAGCCCGAGACTGATTCTCCACGCTAGAGCCTAACTCTATATCTTCCTTTTCAAACTTGGCTGACAAGTTCTCCGCGTTCTTTGCAGATAGCAAGCACATCAAGAAAACAACTGCATCCCTCATGCAGATGCGGCAAGGACCCAGCGAGACACTTCGAAATTTCATAGCTAAGTTTAATAAAGAAAGACTTTTTGTGTTTTGATTTTGTTTTCGATGTTCTACTCAATCAATATTGTGTTTTATTAAATTATTATTTGATCTTCTACAAAATGTTCTTTTAAATAAAAAGAGGCACAACAGTCGTTTGAGACGGACTATGGCTTTGATATTTATAATACGAAGTATTTGAGGTTATTCGGAATTGTAAAGTAGGCTGAAAATCGCAACTAGGGTTTGGCTAGATTTCACCTTCTCTCGAGCGTTGGTCTCATGGACAGTGAGAGGTGGCTCATCCACTCGAGCGCTCCTCGCTTAAGCAGTCTGGTCACTGCAAAAATCTTCTTTGGCGGATTTTGAGCATTTTTCCATAAACTTTGTCATTTTGAGTTGACTTTGACTTCTTCCAAAGAACTCTTGACCCCCGACAACTCGACTCTAATCACAACTCAATTAAATGATATTTTGTACACAGGACTTGCCAATACATTTTAGATCTAGCACTATGAGTTTATAATAATATTTCTCATCTAATGGTAGTTATCACGATAGATTACCGTGTGAAGCTTTTCAGAAAATTTGTTTTGAATATGCTATATACAATAACGATGAAATGTTTTCAGAAGAACTTGTGCAATTGCTCTTGTTATTACAAGATCTTGGTCCGTGATGATCATTTGGGTGCACCATTAGGCATGTCATTCATCTATTGATTGAATAACCAAGAAAATGAATCTATTGTCTCATCACTAAAAATCCACAACCAAAAATATTATTGTATGACCGTGATGATTAACAATTATCATGAAGCGAAAATAATCATATATCTATTTGTCTTGTATATATGTCAAAAACAAATATATCACCAAAAAAGTTATATATCCTCCTTCATTAAGAATCATCCCATAAACACCTGACTAATATGTCGTGACTATCTCTACCAAAATCAAGGAAAAGCTTGGATTTTTTTCTTCTCTAAAGTAAATGTTTCTATCAACAACTCGACATCAATTCCATTCATTTCTTCTTTCAAATCTCTTTCATAGTTTCGGTGTCTCTCTCTGTGCATCCAATATTTTGAGGACCTCCATATTCAATTTTCATCAAACTTATTTGTTGACCGATCGGTATGTTTGCTTCAGATAATTGTTGTACCAAAGCTTTCTTTGCATTTGATGCGACCTCAACAAATGAACTATCGAAGGAGTCGTGGGTGCATGATTACGAGAGTCAAAGAACCTACTAACAATCCAATTTGGAGATGATATACGCCTAACCACAATTAACTTAGCTTTGCAACCCGCACCAATGATTTCTTGATTTCTTTCACCACCATATTGAATTACATGCTTGAACATTTTCTGATAATTTTCATCTATATGTCCTTCATAGTAGCATACAAATTGTTTCAGGACAAGTTCATTCATGCTTGGCCTCCTCTTACTAGTGGACATTCTAACACTAAATCTAGCTTCTTTTGTATAGGTGTTATAAAAGGATAAGGCTACTTGTACACCCAAATGTGTACACGTTTGTTGACACTTCCTATGTGTCACACTACTAGAAAGTGAGGCAATAGAGACGAAAATTTGGCAACGAACGTCTTCCGTTGCTAATACCAACGGATTAACAACAAATTAGCAACAAATTATTATTTTATTATTTTTAAAAATTATATATTAAATTACTGACATAATTGCCAACGGAAGACTTTCGTTGGTGCAATTTCGTTAATAATCCGTTGGTAAAAATTTTTAAAATTAAAAAAAATTAAATAATTTAGTGATAAAATTTCCCAACCAATGACTCCGTTGAAAACAATATAAAAGAGTAAAAAAATTATTGATGAGAAAATCTATTGGTAAACATTGAAAGTAAAACTTTAAAAATATTAATAAGTAATAAATTTAGAGGCTGTCTGCCCCAGATTTCCATCCGAATTTTAAGCCACAATTTGACCGTTCAGCCGTAATAATGGACCAGTCCTCTCAGCGGCGGGCCCCACGTNTTTAGACTACATTTTATTTCCCTAACGCAAAAAAATTTCATTCCCGCTTAAAATTTTACTTGCCTCTAAAATTTTTGTTTCCCCAATCCAATTTCCCACTCAAATAAGGGTGGGGAAGACCCAAAATAGATAGACCCAACCCAACACAAAGTCACAAACAGTACACACAACCCTAACCTTATCTTCCATCTCTCTCGCTCTCAGTCCCTCGCTCATCGGCGCCGTCTCTCCAATTTTCTCGTGCCGACGCTGGTTAATGAACGTCCAAGGTCGAAGGTCCCCGTATAAATCATTCACTCAAGGAAGAACAGAGAAAAAATTCCCTTAAATGGGCGATATGGGTGGTGCTCCATGGATGACGATGGGCCATCATTGCAAAGATGTGCCAGGGTGCAGATGGTGATATGGGCAGTATGGGTGGTGCTGCCATGGATGACTATGGTCCTGCCCCAAGTGGTAGCGGAGCTGGTCCCAAGATTGAGGAAGTCGACTAAATCCAGTCCAGTGTTCTTTATGTGATGTTTTATTTAGGTATCAATATGTGCTTAGGAGAAGAAGAAGGTGATTAGGAATTAAGATTTAGGTAAAGGCGTGAAGCCTCGCGGCCCTCACCTGCTCCGTCGTGCCTCGTTTTCCCTTTCTTGTTATTATTATTTTTTTATTTTGATTTGTGTAAATTTTAATAATGTTTGATTTTGTTTCTTTTTAACACAATGCTCTTCAATTGATTTTGCCAGACTTCAATTTCCAGTCTTCCAGTTCCAGTTCCAGTTCCAGTCTCCAGACTTCTTGTTTTGCTGCCTCTGTGACTGTGAGTTTAACACATTGATTTTCAATTGATTTGTGAAGTGTGAATTGCTTATAATGTTGCCCTGTGATTATGTGAAGTGTGAATAGGAGTTAGTATTGCCCTGTGAAGAGATTTGCTTTGACTTCATAATTTGAACATAGTTCTGTGGAGAGATTTGCTTTGCCCTGTGAAATGTGAATTGGATATAGTTCTTCATTTCTTCATGGGTTACATACGTGTAAATTTGCATCTTTAGGAGAAAAGATGGCCCTTTAATTTGGCTTAGTTTAGTGTTAAATAGGCTTATTAACTGAGTGTTATAGCCAATTTATGTTATTAACTATGCAGATTGATAGGTACCCGTGAGGTTTCCTAAACCCAGCCTCATAGATGGTCATGACTCATTTGCCAGCTGACATGATGTCTATTATTACAATGCATAAGCTAATGGGATTGTTGATGACTGGAGGTGAGCATGGGTGTGCGAGGGTAGTTCGGGCTGCTTGCATGATAGGTGATGCAATTGAGCAGGAGGTTGGTGAGCTATAGATTTTTGCATATCCAACTGTCTTCCTTTATTTGAAAGGCTAGTTGGAAAATTTTATGACTTAGTTATATTGCCTAGTTTTAGTTGCTGGACATTTAGGATTCATTAAAGGATTAAATTAAGGTAGTAGATAGGAAATTAGAAGTGTTAAACCAGATAAGATTCAGCTTGCTATTTAGGAGATCGTGATATCGATTGAAAGTGTGTGCCGCATGCCCGGAGTGTGTTTGGAACATTGCCAAAGTATTAATAAATATATGCAACAAGCTTGAATTAAGGAACAAGGGTGTAATTTGCCTATTTTTAAAATTAGAAAGGGTGGGGTGCCTTTTTTGGGGACATGGGGGTAATATGCTTTTAACCATTTCAGAATCTTTTATGGTTGGTTGATTGTAATGGTGACTTTTTTTATTATTTTCCTAACAATTTCTGTCATTGATCAAGTTAGAATACACAAATTCTTGAAGAAAACAAAGAGGCAAAAAGTTAAAGAGACAAAACAGGAAGGAGGTGAATCTGATGGCAATGACCAAGAACAAGAAGAGTTACGAAAGGTGGTTAATAATTTGATAAAAAAGCAAAAGCTGCGAGCAGTGAGGCAACTAGTTAAAGGACAGGATGATTCAAAACCGTGGGGCACCGATGCTACAGCAAAGGTCTGACCTAACTCTTGTGCTCATTGCATTAAGTTTACAGTTTTCTTACAAGCTAAATGTGCAGTTATTTTAACTCTCAGGTTGGCAGCCGACTCATTGAATTGCTGCTTTTAACAGCCTATATACAGCCTCACAAAAGAAAAACACCATAATTAATACTTTGGCATGTAGAGCATAATTGATCTTTGTGCAGACTGCATAGTATGTACATCTAAAATGTCCATTTTCCCATTTGATCCTTCTGTAAATAGATTTGCATCATACTTTATTCACCAGCTATTGTATTGATGCACACATTATAGGTCATGAATTTTCTGTTTTATGTTGCAATATTTTGTTATAGAACTTCCAGTACTCTATCTAAATCCCTTTTGTCTGTCTTTTTTTACAATCTTCATGCAATTTATCAACACATTGCTTCAGCTTTTGGAGACTTGTTGAAGAAATTATGGGCTCCTGGAGCAACTCCAGTAGCACCAAGAACATTCAAGTTGAAGCTTGCACATTTTGCTCCTCAATTCAATGGTTTTAACTTCCCTAGAAAAGAAGAAAAAAAATTATATATATATATTATTTTTTTTTTAAATTTTCATTCAAATTAGCAACGGAAATAGAGACGGAACTCCGTTGCTAATTGTGACGAAAAAAATCCGTAGGTAATTGCGATGAAAAAATCCGTCGGTAATCTACGACGAATGTACCGACGGTCAAAATATCCGTCGGTAAAATTAGCGGCGGGGCAATTAACGACGGGTCTACCGACGCGATTATTTCGATGTTAAAAGCCTTTAGCAACGGAATTTAGGGCTTTAGCGACGGAAATTTCCGTCTCTGAAGCCGAGTTTTTTTGTGGTGTCAATAATTTAGCCATTGATTGAAAATGTGTTATTAAGATCAATGTATCGAAATCTGTCAACTCATAGAGGTATAAACTAAGATGTAAACTATTGTGTACATGTAGCATATCCCGTGATAAAATTGATGTGCATCTTCAATTATTTCAAGCATTGTCCTACATGTACTTAACAATTTAGATAATGATTTAGCAACAGATGATGTGCGCGATATTTAATTGGATTAAGATCTCATCAATCAAATAATTTTTCGACTCACATTTTGACACCTAATCATTATGTAAATAATTATGTACAAGACGCATTTTTCTTATTTCAAATTCTCATCCAACTTTAGGATTGCATTCCTCCTCAACTTGGAGCGTGAATGTTTGAATTGTAGTCTCTTCTTCCATACTCAATAAGATTAAACACGTTGACCTTCAAATTTAAGACAATTTAATTAATTATTGTTACCACATATAGATAGAAAGAATATATTTTTTATATAAAAAATTACTCCATCAAGTAACACTCTAAACCCACCAATCTACAACCCAATTAACATAAATCATCCAAATCAAAGTCTAACCCAATTTAGCCAAATCAATCAGTAACCACTATTCAATGCAACATGAAGAAACGGAAAACTCCTACACAAAATTCAAAGAAGTCAAGTAAATTTGAAAAAGAAAAATGTCGAAACCCGAAAAAGAAACCATACAATCAACTAACTAACTGACTAAAATGGTAAAAATGTAAGAAGAAAATATCGACTCGGCACAAGGTACATTAAGGCAGGGGCGGACCCAGGGGGTCCTGGGGGGCACATGACCCCCCAGTTTTTGAATTTTTTTTTTTTTTTAATAAAGTCATGTTTGGTATCGATTGAAATCTAAATTTTAATTTAAATCAAAGTTAACAATTAATTTTAATAATATATTTCATGGAATCCATAACTATTTAACTTTTATCAAAATTTAATCTCCACCAATAGGGATAAAATTACAATAAATTTGAATTTCGATAACATGCTAATTTTAAAAATTCTTCGACGATCGTACGCTAATCGAATTTACAAATTGTTTATATCATCTCAAAACGTATTTTGAGAACTACATTATGGGCATATTTAATAATCCAAACAGATATCGAAAATAGTTAAAAATATGTTTAACGTATTTTTAAAAATTCAATTATTTCATTAACATTTATTATTTTTGGGATACAAATTTCTCAATGTAATTTTCATCATTTTATTAGAAAATTTTATACGGAATATGATATCAAAAAATTTCGAAATTTTACATCTAAAAAAGTCATATCCCATGTAAATTTTCGATTGTAAAATTTTTCTTAACTTCTTTGCAAGTTTGATTGTCCCTTTAACTTTAAAATCCTGCGTCCGCCCCTACATTAAGGGCAATGATAGATTTGTGGGTAAAAAAATTCTCTTAGGTATCATTCAGGTAATAATAATAATAATAGAAAAGTTGAAAATAAAAAATTCAAGGCCAAGATAGAGAAAAATAGTAAGTGGGCACTAAGATTAGTCATGAAAAACACATCCATGCAATCAGAATTTTAGACGGTGGCTACATATGATTTTAGGGTAAATAGCAGAAATGGTCCCCAACGTTTACACCCTTTGCTAAAATGGTCCCTATCGTTTTAAAATTGGCATTTGTACCCTTATTTCAAACGTTTCTTGCGGAATTGGTCCTTCCATCCAACAACCGTTAGAACCTTTTGAAAATTTGCAGAAATGGTCCATATGGAATATAATTTAATATTTCGTTTATATATTTTGGAACGGCTTG